ACTTTTTGGCTTACTTATCCTTACCAATGCTTACCAATGCTTTCCAAGATGATTACCCATCGCTTACATTCCTTACTCATCAGTTACCAATCACTTACCAAGTGTTTGCACCTTGTTTTCCATAGGCAATGCCCCTGTACTGTATATAAGTCACTGTACTTAGGTAGCAAAAAAAAAGGGAGACATCAGAGAGCCCCTCTTGCTCGCAATTTATCATCTCTCAGTAAATCATTCATCAGCTTCGATAGTTGAGACTTTATTAAGGGTCTAGCTATCATCTACTTCACTTATCATCATCTATCATCCATATACTTCGTTCCAAGCCCTCCCTGAGCTCAGTACAGCTTAGGACATCGAATTAAGTCACCATCCATCCTTCTGTAGGCTGACAGCAGTCTACCCTATCGCTTTCTATCACATTCTTGCTCCCTCTTCGTCAGGAGCACCCCCAACCCTCAGCACTCATCTTTGAGTGTTGTAGCTCGCAAAAAACCCTCCCAAAGAACAGGTTCTACCATCTAGGTACCACATAGGCACACCACCACTCACTTTCATTGTCTTTTGTGTTGGTTTTGGTTGGTTTTCACCACTGAACCTCACTTTGACTCACAGCACCTAATACCATTGTGAAAGAGGTGCATTCCCTTTGAAGTGATAGATTAGCCTTCCATGATGTTAGGGCACATAAAGGAGTGGTACCCTTCTAGTGTTGTTCGGGCCAATATTAACCCTGGCTCCACCTCTCAGAGAATTCCTTGTGAAGTGCAGCTCCAAAGCTTGCCCAATGTTTGGCCTAGGATAGGGTAAAAACTTTCTACACACAATCTTTGAAATTTCTGCAATATCCAAGGCAGCCCTCTCTGGAGAAATAGTACCATCAGAAACATCTTTGTGGCTGCCAGGTGATGATGGGAGAGTGCTCAAAGGAGGGGGAGATGAGGGTTGAGGACCACTTGAAAGGGGTGAGGAAGGCTGAATATTACATGGGAACTATCCAGAGGGCTTGTAATTGCTGATTCACCTTGATATGGGAGTGGTGGGGGGTTCAGTTTGAATCATAGGAGGTATCAAGTACCAGTCTGTGGTTTATCATAGTTGGATGACTGCAGAGATGCAGTTGGTCAGAGTTCAAAGAACTTAGGAAATTTTGTACAGTCTTGAGCCACAGAGTGGGTGCAGACCCTTGCCTTCTGTTTGCTCAGCTTGTTACAATGCCAGAGACAGAAGATATACCACCAGAACTGGCCCATATGTCAGAGGTCCCCAACCCTGATAGGTTTGTACCATTTCATTACTTGACAATGCAACATGCTCACTGAGTTTCAGACTTTCAATCTCCGTATTCAAGGGCTAGGTACCATGAATGATCAGGGTATACTTTTGGGCATGAACCAAATACATTCAAGCAGTTTCATAATGGCCCTCTGAAGCAAGAGCAAGAGATCAACATGTACTATCCATTTCAGTCCCGAGGGGAATGGTCTTTAGCCAAGTTTCTCGCAGAAAACCTCATGCAAACTCAGATCAAAAGATTTCTCACTTTACCCTGGGTAATTTCAATCCCAAGAAAACCTCATTTTACTGATCTGTGTTAGTTCCACAATAATCCAAGGCTGTCCTTTACTTCTGCAGAAGAGCTGCTTGGATGGATGGATACTCTTCCCTCAGGGCCAAAGTGGCAGAGTACCACTCTAGAAGTTGAGGGTTTCTGAACAACCAATCCTATACAGTTGATTTGGTGTGATGCAGAGGAGGTTGTACAGTCCTTGTTTGGAAATCCTATCTTCAGTGCCAACATGATGTTCGATCCTATCCTGGTCATGACTGCTCTTGGGTGGGAGTATAGTGAATGGTTTTCAGCATGTGAAGCCCATCACATCCAGGTATGTTCATCTGGTGGTGCATCTTCACCATGGAAACTGAAAAACAGTTTTCCATAGGATTCCCTGCTGGATGGTGCAACAATTGTACCTATTCTTGCCACATCAGATAAGACCTCCATGACAAGGATGACAGTGGACTAGAAATGCACCCCCTCTTCATCAGCATTGGTAATATTCCAGGGCACATCTGCATGGCAGCCACCTCACATGCATGGTGATGTGTTGTGTTCATGCCGATACCAGCATTTGACATCCCCAAGGCAAACCAAATGATCCTGCAGATGCATGTTTGGCACAAATGTGTCAATATCATTACTGCAGGCCTGAAACGCTCTGTGGACACTGGATCCATGATGCCAGACCCTCATGGACAACTGTGACATTGTTTCATGCCATTAGTGGCATGGACTGCTGACCTCCCTGAACAACTAATGATTGCATGCATCTCCAAGAGTGCATCTCCTGTTATGGAAGCAACCCACAAGCAATTTGGTGATGTTCATCACCAATCATCTCATACCAGCGATCTCACTCTCCAGCGCATCAAACAAGTCACTCGGAATGTTCACCCACAGGATAATCTGAACAGTTTTCAAAGACAGGCGAAGATGCTACAATTAAATGGTATCTGCCTCCCATTTTGGAGAAACTGGCCATTTGCAAACCCTTCCACTTTCCTTCTTCCTGAAATTCTCCATACATGCCACAAGTTTTTTTCAATCATGTCCTTCCATGGTGCGAAGTCTTACTCAGTGACAAACTTGATGTGCGATTCAAGTGTCACCACAAATGTATTGCAGTAAGGCACTTTGCAAGCAGCATTTCACATGTCAAGCAAATGATGGGCAGAGAACACTGCGACATCCAGTGCACCATCATTCCCATGATAGCTGGTTGTGTACCTCCACAGTTCCTCCATGCTGTATGTGCTCTTATCAGCTTCATATACCAAGCACAGAGTCCTGTGCATATGGAAAGTTCTGTGGAGGCAATGGAATTGTCATTGCATGAATTCCACACCCACAAGGATGCCATTATCAAGGCAAGAGCTAGAACAACAAAATCAGGTGGTGTGAAAGATGACTTCCTCATCCCAAAGTTGGAGCTTTTTCACAGTTTTGCAGAGGCGATTCATAACAGCAGTGGGCTCATACAATATACTGCAGATGTCAGCGAGTGCCTTCTTATCACTCACTGCAAGCACCCATTCCAACATACTAACAAAGGTAAAGACTTCATGGACCAAGTCATTCAATTGCTCAATCATGAAGAGTCTATGCAGCAGTTTGATGTGTACTCGTTGATACACTCAAGTGATATACCCCTCATCAATGCTGTTTCCATGGAAGAGGAAGAAATTGCCACAGCAAATCCAATGCTTGCATGGGTAGAACATGTCCTACCTGAACAGCAGTGGCAACTCCAAGGTCCCTGCCCAATCTGCAATTACTTTGCGAATGGCATCCTTGCCAATCATGCTCAAACCACCCTCCACATCATGTCATGTCTGGATGAGACTAACTTGTCACTGAACGACATCATGGAACAATATAGCCTCCCTGACTTTCAAGACCGTTATCTAGAATTTCTTCAATTGCATTCCCTTGACATCCACTTTGACTCATGCACCTTCAACCATATCACTGTGTGGCATAAACTCCATGTTCAACTGTATTCCACATTCCACACTTCTACAATTCTCCCGAGTCAAGTTGTTCAAGCACTGCATACCTCCCCAGATTTCCTGCATGGGTGTTGTGACATTGTTTTAATCAGCCCCCTGAATGGTGTGCTGCTTCCACATACATACTGATCTATATTGACATATTCCCTGCACACAGATGCCAGTTATGTGGCACAAGTTCACACCATTTTCCAGCCTCATGCATGTCCACACTCCAAGGTGGAAGCCCTCCGCATCTCAACAATCCCCTCATTTATCTGCAGCCTTTCCATGTCATTGCCACCCAAGAGCAGCAACCAGAGCTGCAGATGTGGACACTGGAAAGGTGCTTTTTCAACATGGAAGGTGAACAGAAACAAGAGGGCTGTGACATTCCCATTACTTGGATTTCACATGCATTAGAGCTTGTCCCTGTATTTGGCAGTGAAAAAGTGCCATCCACTGTATCTTCTGCTACATCACAAGAGCTTTATAACTGTTTTTTTCTCAACCACTTTGCAGATAAGGAGGTTTTCAATACATTCCATGGAGTGGGGGTTCAGTTTGTTAGTGGTTCTGATGGGGAAGCATAGGTAGACTACTATGACAAGTATTAGAGTACTACAAATTATGATTGGATTGAAGTCAGATAAAATTGTCATGCTCGTTATCATTGTTATCATGTCAGCTACTGATGATCTCCATCCTCTAAAGATCTGAACATGGACATTCGACCAATTGGATGCATTTCTCACATGGAACATAAGTATCATAAGTGATTAGGCGCCACTTATTCTGGTGACCTGCTTGTTCGAACTGCAGATGAGGGTGTAAATGAGGAAGTGTTAATGGTTCAGGCGCTGTCAACACGTTGCAGCTGGTGCATGGACCAGTCATGCCAGATTTAGTGTGCATACACCGAGGGAAGTAAACGCACTGAAAACAAGTGCCGCATGTACTGTATAATAGTCCCAAAAGCACCGCATATCAGTTCCATGCAATGAAAATCAGTGCCAAATTGTGGCACTGATATTTCATTTTTGCTACTAATAACCAGTGCCATGCATCAGTGTCATTGACGTGTTTTTTCAGTGTCAAAATGGTACTGATTTCCAGTCATGTTAGGCACTTATTTTCCAGAAATTTCCATTGAAGAAGGCACTGATTTTCAGTCAAGAGCACACTTATCATCAGTCACAAAAGTACTGTTTCACTTGCAAAATTAATATTGATTAGACAGCACATCGACATTAAGTGCTGCTAGGGAATCAACGATACAGATTACTGGGTGCATAGAAGTCCAAGTAGCACAAGGCGGAAGTGAGTTCTGATGAAAGTGCATAAACAGTGCAGCTGGGGAATCAACAATACACATAGCTGGGTGCATAGGAGTCCAAGCAGCACAAGGTGGCAGCGAGTTCCGATGAAAGTGCATAAACAGTGTGGCTGGGGAATCAACAATACACATAGCTGGGTGCATAGAAGTCCAAGAGGTGCAAGGTGGCATTGAGTTCTGATGAAAGTGCATAAACGGTCTTGAAAGTGTCCAAATAAGTTAGCTAAAAGGAAATGAGAGTGGATTGACAAGGCGCAGCCTAGTTATGAATGTTCTGTCATGGTTGGCCTCGCTGAGTCTTTGATCGAGTAGTGTGATTCACCTTAGCATGTTCCTGTACATTTGACCACACATGAGTCACAAGTGCAGAAAGGACAGTGATGGGGGTACGACAACTGAATTGCCTTATACTCACTGATGTGACAAGTCCAGCAGTTTGACCTATGCTTGCATTTGGGGTGTGCTGCTGGACCTGTGTAAGTGGTGATATCTATATCAGTATAACACATTGGAAGCATCGAAGGTAGTACACATGCAGTGGCCACTGGCAGCACTGTTGATTGGGACTTGCTGCTCAGCATGACCATTGTGGTCTGTAAGGTTAGTAGTGTCAGTAAGGCACAATGTTAGTGGGATAAAGTGTGTAGTGAATGTTAACCTTCACCTGCTCTGAATGTAACTTGTTGGCAGCTTGATTGGAATCATCATCTGTCACAAGTAATTTAACTCTGAGGCGAGGTCGTGGCTAAGGTGAATGGTGTCAGTCAAGGCACAGCCTACACAGGATGACAGAGTAGGAGATGCCTTCTGCATTTGCCCTTGGAGTTCCAGCAGAGCCTGAGCGGCATCCCAGGTATCACTTGTTGCTTCACATGTCAGGAGCTCCAGTTGCTTTAGTCGAAAGGCGACAATGTTTCTATGAAATATCTCCTCCAACTCTGTATCGTCATCATTTGTGGGGTGGATGAGGGAACCCACATCGCTACTTGCAACCATGGTCTTGTGTGCCTTGACAACTGTTATGGGACTGTAATCATCTGTGATCAGCAAGGTTGCTACATAGGGCACCATAAAGTATGTCGTGAACTTTGTCCCTTTTCTTCTTCTGTGACCCATCCTGTGTGAGTATGAGAGCACAAAAACGGAATGCGAAGTTTTGAAGGCACACATACATGACATTCAGAGGCTGCTGGCACCTCTGCTTCATTGGCTTGCTCCCATACTGATGCAAGTGGTCTTGGAGCATGCAACCCATTGCTGATAGATTCCTGAAAGAGTGTGAATGCACAGAGTGAATGACTTTCCAGACCATACCTGTCATTCCATTCCCAGCATGCCATTTGCTGCTTGTAGTATGCATGATTGCTGGTCGTCAATTGATTCATCCACCAGCTTGTTTCTCTTTCTCTAAACTGCATGGCGCATCGTGAACATCAGCTCATGACTACAGCTCAATATACTTGCTCACATTCTTCTGAGTACCACCCAGGCATTGGTGACCCTTATCACCCTTGGCATGCATGTTGGGCTGGATGTCATCATTGCTAACAATTGACTTTCTCTGAAAAATGTTCAGGCATCAGTTGCAATCACATACAGCTTACTTCCTCACCATTTTCTGTCTGGCTTCTGTGCATTTTGGGTAGACACTCCTCTCATCTTCATCTTCATCATTGTCATCTTCATCATCGTCTTCATCCCTCTCCATCTAAATGACACAGAGTGAGCTCGAGATAGTAGATGTTTGTTCACCTACCTTTCTCTGTGTACCCGGAGCGTGTTTGCTGTGCCTGTTACTGGCACCAGCATCATCTGCATACATTTCCTTGGACTTGGACTGGGAGTTGTCTCTCTTTCTCTAAGCGACATGTAGTTAGTTCGTGATAGTAGAATGCACATTTGCCTACCTTTTTCTGTGTATCTGAAGTACATTTGATGTGCCTGTTATCGCCAGCATCACCTGTGTCCATTTCCTCAGACTCAGACTCGGAATTGGACTTGGACTTGGACTTGGACCTCTTTCTCTAAGTGACATGAAGTGAGTTCATGATAGTAGAACATGCATGCCTACCTTTTTATGTGTACCCAAAGTACATTTGACATGCCTGTTATCACTGGCATCGTCTGTGTCCACTTCCTTGGACTCAGACTCGGACTTGTCCCTCTTTCTCTGAATGACACGGAGTGAGTTCGTGATAGTAGAACACACATGCCTACCTTTTTCTGTGTACCTGAAGTACATTTAATGCACCTGTTAGCACCAGCATCGTCTGTGCCCACTTCCTCCTCATCTTTGTCATTAGACTCTTCTCTCTTCCTCTAAACATACCAGGGAATCAACTCGAGATCAAAATATAGATAAAAGTAACTGCTAACCCTTGCTTCGGCATTCTGTTTTTGCCTTCATTCAGATGTTGACCGGTTTTTCAATACCTGGGCAATTAAAGCATGTGCACCCCAGCCTCCCTCACACCGCATGAGGATTTCTGATTCTGCTTGGGCCTAACAATGTGAATCTGGGTTATTAGTGGCTATATGCACTTAGAATGTGCTCCCTTACCCTCCAAATGACTTTCTCAACAAGGAGCTTGTCGCTTTGGTGAGAAAGCAAATGACTTGTATCCAGGTAGTGGTAGGCCAATTTCTGTACAACATCCTATTGAGTAGCATACAGGTAATAAGAATACAATAGTAGGGATGGAAGACGTACCGAAAGGTGATTGTACATGTCCTTCTTCTCTGTGAGTCCCAAGGCATCTATTAGCTTGTAGCTGCTGCCTCAACCTGCTCGGCCCTTGGGCTTGTTAATCAATCTTAACCATTGGTTAGTATGTTTATCTTGCTGTTTTTTCTGCCTCCTCTCCTCTTTTGCATGGTTCTTTCCTGCAGGAAGAGATATGAGATCTAAATGGTACCTGTTGGTATCGATGAACTCACATTTGTGCACTTCCAAATCCCCATAGAGTTCTGATAACAACTCTCCTAATTTATCAATCCTTGACTGCTTCTTGTGCTTCAGTTTCGTCATCAAGGCTGGAGGCTTGATGGCAGAGATGATACAGTGCATAGGATAATGGATGTAAGCAATGACCTTGGAGTGGCTGTGCTCAGGTCAGGTGATCACAGCTTGGTACATGTCACTAAGTCAGTTAAGTCAAACATACTGACCATGCCTCCAATTTGATCTCCAAGGAGGAAACGTTGTTGGTGCAATCCAGGATGTGGTGTGTGCTTGAGCAGCACACAGCGGTGGCATCACTATAAGAAGGCTGCATCCATGGGGCAACTGGCAGGCATGTGTGACTCTGAAAGCCTGACAGGCAAAGAAAGCCCCCAACTAGATCTGGCTGAAGGTCAGCTCAACAAGCTGAACATTAAATGATACTAAAGTAATCACCTCAGGTGGTCATTCCCACCTGGCATCTCCATCTGAGTCATTGGACACAACAGGTGTGAGTGGGGTGTCCAAGTCCAAGGCCGACCCTGGAAGTGATGTTCAAGATGATGTATGGGTATGGGCTGAAGAGCTCGAGGGAGATGATAATGAGCTGCTGGATGAGTTGGAAGACAATGCGAGAAACGAAAGAGAACGAGATCTGTTCACTCTCTGTATGTGCCCAGTTGCCCTGGCTCTAATGCATGAACTGATCATGCATCAGGGAATGATATTCTATCAGACGAAGATTGCAACAATATCTGCACATTTAACCTCCTTATGATGGGCCAAATCACTCGACATGCTTACTCACAGATGCAATTCACTTTCCAACACAAAATGAACCTCAACTCACAATATGTCATCTTTCAGTGCATGGCCAAATTATCTGGGATCAAACCCCTCTTGGTTGACTGCTGTGGAAATTCATGTGTGGCCTACACCGAAAAATATATTTATCTTCAGTCTTGTCCATTCTGTCAAGAAGTGCGATTCAACCAGTACAGAAGGCCACATCAACAATTCATGTATCTCCCACTTATCCCACAACTGCAAGGGTATTTCCAAAGCATGAGGATGATCAAAACACTCTCATACCATGCAGATTATGATATTGGGAGAGGAGAGATTGCAGATGTATTTGATGGGAATCATTACCAGTGGCTTCTCCATTGTCATGTTATTGTTGATGGAGAAGAGTTACCTCACCAATACTTCTCAGATTCCCGAGACATCGCACTGGGCCTTTGTACTGACAGCTATTTACTCTTCAGGCAGCGACGCAAGGGCCTGTCCAGTACACCACTCCTGTTGCAGAACTACAACCTGCCTCCACATGTGCGAACTCACAGCAAAAACCTATTGTGTGTCAGAATTATTCCTGGCCTGCACCAACCCAAGGACCTTCATTCTTTTCTCGTTCCCCTGGACAATGAATGTGCTGAGCTAGCATATGGCATCCAGACTTTCGATGCATCCCAGCAAGCCCTTTTCAAGATGCACACGTATATCATCATCAAATCTGGTGATATCATTGCAATTGAGCACTTCTTAAATCTCAAGGGCCATAACTCAATCTTCCCTTGTCGTTCATGCAAGGTGAAAGCTGTTCGTGGCTTAGGCAAGACCTATTATGTCCCTCTTCACCCACCATCTCAAAACTGCAGTGCAAGGACCCTCTATCAACCAGCCCCTTTACAACACCACGATGACTTCTCAGATGTAATGGCAAGGATTGCAGTGGCCAAAACAAAAAAAGAGATGGTGATGATCACAAAGGAGACTGGCATCAAAGGATTGCCAGGCCTGACTCGTGTCAGGTCCTTGGATTACACATGATTGTCCCCATGGGAATGGTTTCATTTGTTCTTAGAGAACATTGTCCCGAACCTTGTTGACTTCTGGACAGGCCAATTCAAGGGTCTTGGGATGGGTAATGAAGACTTCGAAATTGCGACCGAAATTTGGGAGGAGATTGGAAAAGAAATTGCTGCTGCTCTCTGACACATACCATCTACATTCGTCTGCATGCTTGTGAATATCGCAACAGACTGCTCACTCTTTATGGCAGAGACATGGTGTTTTTGGTTCATGCATCTTGCTCCAAAGCTACTGAAGGGGCACTTTCCCAAAGACAAATACTACAAGCACATGTGTGAGCTAGCGGCAATTATGAAGGCTACTTTACAGTTTTGCACCCCACATGGACAACTTGACGATATCAAAAGATGCGTTATAGATTGGGTGCAGAAATATGAGAGGTATGTGCATTTCCGATTCAATTGTATCGCAACACTAATTTTTGTCATTAGATACTATTATCAATATGACATTCATAGTTTGAAACAGTGTTTGAGACCCGCACAGGTTCTGTCTTAACCCAAACCGGGTATGGTGACCTAGAAAATATAATAGCCCTCGTTTTGCCTGCCACACCACTCTTTGGAGAACTCAGAGGCAAAACCATTGTTGTCACACTTGTTAGACCATGGGACACAGATGGAAAGGTAGCCTCAGAAGAGGTCGTGTTCTTCAAGTCTTGAAAAGCAAGGATAATTATGGATATCAGGAGCTTAAGAGCTGTTGTAGGCCTAGTCAAGATGCGAGGGAGATGGGGTATCATTGACAGGGCACCTGGGACAGCAACGACAACCTTCGCAGATGATATGATGGAAGGATATTTACATGATGAACATGGTGACGACAACGACTTCATCTTGTGAGAGAAGTAGTTGATTCAATATAATACCATATACATGGGAATTCGTGGTGTGACAACGCGCAGGATATTGATACATATATACATACTGGGGAGAGATGTGATCCCTTTCCAGGTGCAAGCCCTGACTCAGTACACTCCAGATCCAAAAAGCTACCTGAAGGATGTCACAACAGACCTGCACCCACAATAGTCAATGACGTCTCCACCCGAGAAGGTGACTCCTACAGGTCGTCAACATCGTCACACAAAGCTGTCCTGGTGGTGATGGAGCCCGCAATGCGGCCATTGACAGTGACGGTGGAGCTGGAGATGGGTTGAGAACTCTTCATGATGGGGTAGAAGATAAGGGCGATGGTGGTGGCTGCAGGAGGGGCTGACTAGGAGGGGGGGCAGGTGGATGGATGCCAAGATGGTGCCAAGAGCCAACATTGTTGAGCCCAGTGTTACAGGTCCTTGGGGAGGGGAGGCTGGGACGAAGGATAGTGAAAGTGGCGTGTTCGGTGGTACTCGCCTTGCGCCAATTTCATAATGTTCTGGTGTGTATGGATTACTTACCCGCACCAGGGGTGGGCCAAAAAAGACAATGCACCTTCACTCGATCGATGATCTTGAAGCATCCAGAACTATCAACTTCTGCAGCATCCCCAGTGTGTATCCAGCTGTCCTTCAGCATCTCCTGGGTAGTCTTCTCATCTGATGGATACCATTTCTTTTCACAGGCCTTAGTAAATGGCGAAGAGGAGACGTACCTTTATAATATCCCATGAAGCAGTTTGGGCTGCGGACACATAACTCTCCACATGGGTTTGGCTTATCGTTAGACAGGTAATTCATCGCTGGAAGGTCAATGAGTTTGACTTCGAGAATTGGTTGAGGCAGGCCGATCACCCCGCCACCAGTTGGGTCTGCCTGCGAAGTGTGCGTGCAAACTCCACAATTCTCTGTCATGCCATAACTGCCTAGAGTCATTAATGGAACATAATCGAGCGATCCCATGACCTCACTTACCCTGGAAGGAAAAGAAGTAGGTTCGTCGCACCTTCTGTAATACCACAACCAAAAGCAATCTTGAAGAAATCAACCACTTCGCCGCTAATGGGAGCAGAACTGGTGACCATCAGCAAAACGTTCCCTCCAAGTGCAGCATGAATCTGGAAGCCAAGCGGAGTGAGCCAATCGAGTACTGCATCAAGAAGCCTGCCACAAACCTTGCAGAACACCAATGCGTCCCATATGACGTGGGCAGTTACCCTGGTCTTGTGAAGTTGATCTAGTTTCATCTGCACTGCTGTTCGGAAAATAGCACCCTTCACACCCGGCACATTACCAGTGGACATGGCAGCTTGGTATACCCTATTCAGCACTCATGGTACCGATGGGAAAAAGTGAGGTTTCAAGGTGTCATCCATCAAGCACAAGGGGTTGCCAGTGGAGTACCCAATACATCCACCCACAGTGATTACCATCAATTCGCAAATCCGCTGCACACTCAAATCATGGAGATATGTTATTAGACTTCAATAGAATCCCACGAACCTCATAAATGTGCACCAGTGGCAAGTATGACATGAGACAGCAGCCCAGGGGAAAGCTGGTACCAAAGGTGTTAGCATATGCTGCGCTCACGAGATTCATGTGGGTGATGATTGCTCCTGTGAAAAGATAAGTTAAGAACCACTGGCGTCATGAACGGTATTCCACCTTTTGGCAAGTTTGTTGTTCCCTATCATCCAGAATGAATGAAGCAGCCAATCAAGAGTGCAATTAGGAACGTACCGAGGTGTAGCACAAAGAAGCAATCTGATCAGGAGACACTGGAAGAGGTTCAATGAGGTTTTCCTCGCCATACATCTTGACTGTACAACCAAAGGTCAGTGTGCAGGCCTGCCTGTTGAAAAAAAAAAACAATCACAAGTCAATTTTGTGACCATATACCGACTGTCTCCATGTCTGTTGCCTTGAGTGTGAAAACCACGAAGACCTACTACATGATATGGGCGACAGATGTCAGCCAATGGTTTCACAAGTAGGTTGAGGAGGTTTGGGTGCATGAGCACCAGCTCACAGAAACAGGCAACAGATGTAGGCCAACTGTTTCAACGAGCTGAGAAATCATGAACACTTACTCCGTGATATGGGCAACAGATGTCGGCCAACGAAGGCTCAGCGAAACGGGTGACAGATGTCAGCCAACAGTTTCATGAGCAGGTCAAGGAGGTTTGGGTGCATGAGCACCAGCTCACAGAAACGCGCAACAGATGTAGGCCAACTGTTTCAACGAGCTGAGAAATCGTGAACACTTACTCCATGATATGGGCAACAGATGTCGGCCAACGGTATCACAAGTAAGGTTCAGTGAAATGGGCAACAGATGTCAGCCAGCAGTTTCAACGATCCTGCAGAGTTAGTATTAGAAGCTGCCAAGATTTGAACATGTGTGACGTACTGTGGTCGGTTACATTGTGTGGACCTGTTTTCACATCAACAACAATTTTCTTGTTGCAAGTTAGCACGTCACACGTCAACATTTCATTAAGGAACTATCCATGGCCAGAACAAGGCAGAACGCAAAGAAAACCACGTCCGGTATTGCACCATGAGTGCAAATCATTCGCGCTGCTCGCGCCACCCCCATCCGACATGCATCCGTGCAGTCCACCTCAAAGGCTTCAACACTGAGTTCGTTGACATCCGTTCCATCCTCTTGGGGACAGTCCCCTCTGGCTGAGGAGTGGCATAACCAGGTATGTACTATAGGTCCATCCTCCTATCACCGCTAACACGATAAGTAGTATTGCTACCTTTGCCACAACGGAGCTAAATACTTATTCGAGTGCTATTCCTGCCCTCGCGTCGTGTGCGACCCCTGCTTAGGATTAGCGCAGTGGCTCACGGACAAGGCCCGTGCTGAGGACATAGACTTCCAGTGTCCCGGTTGCCACGAACTCGAAGAGGGTGGTGCGAAGCGCAAAGAGCTACATCCGTACTTTGTGAGTTATTCATCATTCACAATCTGAATAGAGCTGACGTGAGTCCAAGCCATTCACGCGCACAGTACTCAGGAAGAGAATTCCCATGTTGGATAAGCCAGTCATCATCTCGGGGATTTGTGAAAGGGCATCTATGTCTCAAGTGTGTGCCGAGTCCACCCTTATTCTTGAGCTCATCTGCACAGGAGTGGAAATTCAAGGTTCGTTGCCATCGCTCCTCAACACGACCATCAAGGAATATCACACAAGCAACTCCCTTCTGTATCAAAAAATAATCTTCGATTTTGGTATGGATCGAAAGTTTAGTCGGTGGAGTACGAGGATCAAAAAACTGGGTGAAAAGTTGGGCACGTATGCCTTCAAGCGCAAGATCATATTCGTTACTGTTCATAGCGAAGTCACCCGCAGTGACCTGTTTGCAGGGAAGGGCGAGAGTGGTGAGGATGTTGCAATGGAGGTTGGTGAGGTACGTGACTGACATGAGGAGGTTACTCTCTCTCATCCGTTTCAGTTCATGACATGCCTGTTCGCTTCTCCCCTGCAAAATATGGTCTACGGTTCTACACTGTTTATGTTGACTTGTGGCCTCGTGGTTTCCTTTGAACAATCATTAGCGGCGTTGAAGCAATCTATCGCGCAGTCAGTTATTAATGATTGATCTATAAAGAACCTTACTAACTGTTGCCAAGACTCCGGCCAGAGTATACGGTCACATTCACTGCCAAGGATTTCCTCAACACGGTTGTCAAAACTTTCATCGTGTCGTACGGCGTCAAAGTCTTGATTGAAGGACATGCTCTGGAGAACATTATCCATGACCTACTCGACGTCTCACTCGAACTTCGGATGCACACTGATGTGATGCTCTTTCATCTTTCAGGCCTAGGATTGCCAAGGGTGCCATGGTTACTTAGCCCTGCCCCACTCACTGCCACCCCTCTCCTTGCCATATACAGGTACTCATGGTACCACAGCCATCGGCGCCCATGGGGCACATCTCTATCCATGGGGTGCCTGAAATGTGGTGCCATCCATCCATGGGCACGATCAAAGCTGGACCCTCATCCACCGAGTGGTTATCACCTGAAGACTCGAGTGTCCACGTGCCGCAAGTGCACCTTTGAAGTGTGTACTCAGCCTCTACCGGTTGAATACGACGTGCTCCATGGCAACCCTACATCTGGGTGGCTCAAATACACCGTTTGCGCTGCAGTGCCACTGTGATTTCGTGCATTTGTCTGTCATTTATACACTTGATACTTCCAAAGTAATGTAATACTGCGTCTGCATGCAATCTCACTTTATTGGTTTGACAACTTGGTGTGAGTAAACAAGGTGACAATGTCATGTACTAAATATCAGTGCCGGTAAACTTCGAGTACTGAAAGTCAGTGCCTAAAAAAATGTGGTACTGAAAATCAGTGCCAACAAACTCGGGGCACTGGTTTTCAGTGTTGCAAAATATGTGGTACCGGGAATCAGTGCCAGCAACTGAAATTTAGTGCTCCAAAAAATGCACACTGAAAATCAGTCCCGCGAAGATGACACTGAAAAGAAGTGCTCACTAGATCAGTGCCAGTGGTACTGATTTTGCTCAAATCAGTACCACTGGCACTGATATTCAGTGCGTTTACTTCCCACAGTGATAGCCCCTGTGGTTCTGTTGCCTGCCGCCTTCTTCATGCCGCACTCCCGCTCCGAATGGCCTCGTCCCCATTACTACTGCCCGATAGATGACCTCCTTGCTGATGCTACTTCGGCACTCACCTCTCTTCCATCCATAACGAAATCTATACACCATCCCATCGTGACCCCATGATTCTGATAATTGATAAAAGCAAAGAACATGTAGCAGACACCAGTGGTGATGCGGCCCGTCAAGATGCAAAGGCGCGACGAGAGCAGGTAGTATGGCTTAGTCGCAAACTGAGCAGCGGGCCTCGGGACCTCCATAGGAAGATTGTTGGACAGAAGTTTCGGACAGTTTCACATGATGCGAGCAGCATGTTAATGCTCACTTTTCCGATGGCTACAGGTCTTCAACAGGGATGACCGCTGTATCGATACCCCACGTTGTTCCCGTCCTTGTACACGTTGTCCGAGTCGGACCTTCTGAATTAATTCTGATGGGCTACAGACTGTCCCTCTGACGGAAACATGTTCTAGCCATATTCAGGATGAGAGTGGTCGTAGTCGCGCATGCACACCATAGAGGCGCATCCCAATTTCAATCTGAAGAGCTATGACATGCTATGTACGTGTAGAAGACATTGCCTGAGTGTATCGATGCACTAATGACCTGTGATTTATACGACGGATGGCTGCGGGGTCCCGCATGTACAAGCTAAACGAATTATGTCGCAAACCACCGTTAACATGGCCGCTCAATGTTGAGAGCATACAGGAAGAAGAAGTACGAGAAAGAGGAAAATGGGATAACGGTCATCGGTTTTCGTCCTCTCCGGTTGACATACTTCGGTGTCGCCCCACTCACTAATTGCGATCTCCTAATATTGCGCCTACTAGCAGACCTGCACTGTGATGGATGTAGGCTTGGAAGTAGGGAAACCCCGCGTCGCAAGTTATAACGTCTATTTTTCGATGACAATCATGTCCGCCTTTTTTGCAGCGGGTTTAGACACACTACATTGAGAGGTGAGGCACACGTGTGCTTGAGATTTGGGGCCGTCACACTGATAGAGTAGGTGTGGTTGAATCGACGGAGAGGGCATACCTGAAAGAACGAAGACAACATCACCAAAATGGGAGAACAGAAAAGGTATAGAAATTGAAGATATCGATCAGCGTCCGAGTACTACCCCTGACGTATGTATATACAAGCGATGCGCAACCATTCATGCCTCTATTAACAGCCCCTATATACCGGGAATCTGAACTGCCGCACGAAGATAGCCAAGGTGAACTCATTTATAGGCCGTAGTTAGTTTGAGATGACGTGCCAGATTTTATACCAAACACAACAAGGGACTATGAAGAGGGATGGACAAAGGGTCAGCTGCAAAGACTGTAATGGAGGGAGGGGGAGGAAAACTATATGCAATGACCAAGGGGATCCGAGCGAGTGTGTAATATATGGTATCGTGTTCGTAAGGTGTGAGTGCTGGTGGTAGTAGTCGTAATCATGAGTTCGACATGTGCATGGCGCGTCCCAAGTACAGGCCAAGCTGAAAGTAAAAAATATCATCATCCGAGGTGATAAGGCGAAAACGCAGGATCATCACGAAGCCCACTTCCGGTCTATTTGGTTTAAACCCTTGCGTGTGTCCGACGACATTATGAGAGGATTGTCAATTAGTACGGAGAGGCACAACTTCATGCTGCACTATACAAAAACAGGTTGTTCGTCGCTGCGATCTGCGGGAAGCAAGTCAGTGACGCTGGAAGAAGGGAGGATGAAAGTGGAAGAATTTACAGCAATAGTATTTTCCCTCGGATGCCAGCTCGCGTGAAGGATCTTCTTGTTAAAGTCAAGCGTCTCAGACTGCATCGCTTCTCTCAAGCCACCTGGTCGCCCATTCTTCAAGCCGTTCTTATTCGGCAAAGGCCCGCCTATCTTCTTCGCCTTGAATGCCGACTTATCGGCTTGCAATACGACATCGTTGGGAGAATCCACGTCAAATATCCGGAAGAAGTTGTGGTACGATCCAGTTAACACGTGCCTACGTTGACGTTATAGGGGCTCTTATCATGGAACGGAGTGGAAAAGAAATGACGCACTTGTCATCACCACCCCAGACACACTCGAACTTATCGAAGATGCAGTCGTTCTCGTATAGATCGCAGAGTTTCCCGCGAAGATGATCGTGGATGGGAATGGTTTTGACGGGTTTGGACTCCATATTGATGTCCCAGATCTTCAGTGATAGGTAATCTCGCGACAAGATGTACCGTCCATCGTGGCTGAATTTGACATCGGATATAGATGAAATGATTTCCGAGAAGAATGAACGCGTAGAGGGGTCTTCCTCCTCCTCGAAGCCTTGGATTTGTGATAAGGGTGCACAATTAGAGAGTCAGCGACAGGAGTCCGTCGAGGACGTACATTTTGCGTGCCGATCGCACAGTGCGGAGTCCCGCATGTCCGCC